CAGAAAGATAGACACGCACTTCTTAATTAAGTGGGTGATGTTCTAGTTAAAACAAAAAGACAACCCTGGGCCATAGCTAAGATTAAGCACATGCTCTTGCAAAGGAAGCTCTGACTATTGTCGATGTAAAGGCTTTAAATCACAAAAAATAAACCATCTAATAGTCTGTATTCAATAGTAAGTAGAAAGTCAGGACACAGACTGATTTGGATTAACACATTTTCACTTATAACAAGTAATTTTACAGAGGATTAGTATCTTGATGGTCTGATCAATACTAGGCACTGCTGCTATTACAGATGAAGAGAAAATTACCCCTCCAGTAATAAAGTGTGTGTCTCGGTTCTCCTTCATTTGCCGAGTCCATTACTGTAATGGTTCCAGCATTAGCAGCTGAGGCAATTTAAACAGCAGGAATGTGATGAATTTAAAAGCAAGAAACATTTGCCACTCATTCTTTCTTGTATTTTATTCTGCATATACAAGGCTTCTACCTGACCATTTCCAATATACAAATCATGTGTTATGTGACTATCAACTCTATTTCTTAATTATTGTCTCATTAATAATGGGAAGGTCCAATAATGTGATTACCACAAAAATTGCTACTGGCATATTGGTTGCTGATTCTGCTAAAACTTGCACACCATTTACCTAAGCAGAAATATGACGTGACAAGAAGCTTATTTAACTGCATCTAAGTTGTTTCATTAATTTTCCTAAATACAATTTCTAAAAGAATCTAATCTGTCAATTAGAAAATTTTGTTTCATTTGGGTGTTTTTAATAATGTTTTTTAGCTTAAGAGGTAGAACAATAACTGGAAACAATAAATCATTTTAATATTAGAACAAACCATGGTAACAAGGTTGAAGTTTTTAAACTTCATTGTATGGTATGGGCACCATCTTTCAGCATTAGTTCTAAAACCAAACCCTTAATCATGCTTTGAAGTGCTTTGAGAACACTTGCCTAATTTTCCTTGAGCATTAATATGTTGAAGCAACTTGTTTTACCTTGTAAAGATATATTATTTTACAGGCAGAAAAATGAAGATGATGCATGAAATAAGACCATCAATGAAATCTCAGCCGAAACACAGTATATTCCCTTTTTCTCCTCGTAAATAAAATACATACAAAGCTTTGTGTTATTTAAAGCTTTATATTTCCTTGCCACTTTGTCCAACATGTCTCACAAATGTGATACTGCATATGAATATCTTTGCAAAAGCCCTTGTGAATATTCAGATATGTGCACATTGATGCCTTTATTATTTGTACAGCAATAACTTTATTGGATTGGGGTCCCAGTTGTGCTGGGAGCTGTACAAACATAACAGAAGTGTCTGTGGAATACATTCTCTGCAGTCAGTGTTCACAGTAATGTGAATTAGCATAAACTGCTACATAAGGTAATTGTGAACTGGGTTTAGTGGTCTGTTCCAAAGACCCATCCAGGTAATACCTTTACTTTAAATGAAAATAATACTCCAGACTAACTGAGTAGCTTCTCTTTCACCTGACAGTGGCACAGGGTGCTGACATGTAAAGAGTGGTAGAGGAAGAATACACAGGAAAGAACTAGAACTTGGCCTCTGTCATACTGAAACTTACACTAAAAAAATCCACTTTAAATAAATAAGTCTTGAGAACATTAAGTTTTACATCACATATTAACTTTTTTAACTCATCAATCAAGCTAATAAACATTTTAAAAGCAAAAAGCTTTCTTTCCAAGTCTAAAAGGAGGACATAGCATACTTAGATCACCAAATAGAAGGTTTGTTTGATTTTATTTTGCATGGTACATTTCTACACCTAGTAAAAAAGAGGTGACCAACAGTGTAAAAAAAAAGAATCAAAATAACTCTAAACTGTATTCATTAAAACAGAATTCTAAGGTAAAACAAACAAGCATGAACTACTCCGCAATAGACTGTTTCATAAAAATGCCTTTTCAGCTAATGAGCAACATCCAACAGCTCTGGTTTTATGCACAGAAGTAAGATTTGCTATGGGGAAGACCAGAGCAGATGATGGTTTGCAACAGCTCCAAAGGTATCTTTAGAAACTGCGGAATAGCTGTGTTTTGCTGCCCATTTAAGACTCAGGAAATACTCTACAGAACATTAGCATGCCCAATATGGTGTTTAGAACTTCTGGCTATAGTTGTCCATAATTTTTTTCAGACCTTCTTCCCAACAATGAATTTGCATCTTCCTCCTCTTGACTTGGAACACCAAATACTAGAACAATTTTATTTCTGCTACACATTTAATCTTACTCAACCCAACTGAGTGATCTGCAAAGTGGAAATTGCTGTGTGACAGCACTGCACTCTACAGAAGTTCTACCACATATACTTGGAACAGAAATGTTCTACTAGAACAGCATAAATCAAAACTTGCTATATACAATAAAATTTGAGCCAGAGAAAAGTTTATCACATAAAAGAAACATACTACATAATTACAAAGCAAAAGCCAGTCAGTGGGATTCTGATAGACAGCATTTAACTGTGCACAATTATAGCAAAACAAGAACTTTTATTCAGGATTTAATTCTGGAAAACAAGAGACATTGCCAGGAGACATATAATCCAAACCAGCTTCTCTACCCAACCACTTCCCTCTCAGTAGTAGGCCTCATAAATCTTACTCTCCAGAAGAGGTTGGGTTAACCTCACTAATATTTGGTTTGCTAAAAAATATTTTAATCAGTACCTAAATGGAAGTCTTGGCAGAACTACTACAATAAAGACACTGTTCCTTTATCTTCAGCATTTCTCAGGCGATCAACACAAGTTAGGAATGGCTAAACCCATGGATTGAAGGGCAACTTGGCACACTGTCAGGAGCCCAGAGATTACATCTCCAAATAAATTGTAGAAAATAATCTGGCTGAGGATGCTTCCATGGGAAAAAAAAAAAAAGCACATGCTCCTTCTAGCATATTCCCCCTTTTCCCATTGCTGCTTTCTCCTTTGGCAGCCTTCATTCTAAGACATTCTACAGGTTCATTTTGCTTCACTTTCAGTACACTCAGCTGCTCTCAAGTAGTACCCATTCTATAAGTATTGACACCTTTAAATTCTCTCTAAGAATCTTTTATGTTTCTCTGTCTGTGCACCCGTACATAAAGTTTTGTCTACAGCAGTACTCTTACACTCGACCTCTGGTTTTTCTCACACATTGTTCTTGACACCTCTTCAAGTGCCTTTACTCCTACAGCATTTGCCAATGTAGTTCACAGCACCATCACAGGTATCCTCGAGTGATTATCTTATCAAGGGCCATTATTCTTCTAATGTGAACCATTCCCAAATATATTCAAGACCCATTGAAAAGACAAAGGCCCTTGGACAACAGCACAAATGAACAGGTTAAAAAAAGTATGGGTTGCTTCTGCAAAGTGTTGGATGGGACATCTGCATATGTTTTGACATATAGGGAAAATGCAGAACACAAATATAAGACTGAAATTGCTGTCCTTCAGCAAATTGAGATAGCAGAAAGGGAAATTACAAAATGAACAGGTAGTCCTTAAGGAGTTGTTATGAAATTTACTCGGCCAAAGAGGCTCTAAAGTTTTCTAGTAAAACACTTAGTTGCAAACTTACATCAGACCTTTTCCCTGCCTCTGCAGGGAATATTATATTTAATACTGAATAGTAGATTAAGAGCAATACCAAAACCAGCATGTTCCCTGCTCAGGTGTCTGAGATTATCGTTTTCAAAGGCATTTTCTAAATTTATAATGGAATTAGCCTTCCTTTCATTAACACTAGCACTATGCTTTCAAACAAGTCACTTACTGGGTCTCAGTACTACTGTTTTGTAAACGCAATCAATCGGTAGAAGTACAACAACCATAAAGAGCTGAAGTAAAATATTGTACAATGTAGTAAAACAAGCCCTTAAAGGCACCTGAAACAGCAAACATTCAGCACTCCTGTTTGCTTCCACAGACAGTGAAATATCATCAATGTAAGCATGTAACAGCATTGCACCTAAACACATGAACCAGAAAAAAAACATTATAAAGCTCGGGCGGTATAAGAGACTTAAAATATTTATTTATGTCAGGCTTAGTGTACTTTTAAATTTAAGAATTAGGCGCAGTTACACAGTGCATCATCTCACTATGTATGTTTCAACAAAAAACAAACATACATCATTTGCATCATTTTTTTTTCATATACCACAAAACTCTTAAATGGAAATATCTTGCCCAGTCGGCACACGCCTTTACCACCAGCTCCTGTTCAGGCTGTGCGAGGTGCCCCTCATTCGGGGAGGGGGATCCGCCTTCTCCAGGTGAAGCGGAGCCCCCGCCCGGGCACAGCGGCCGTGCGAGCTCACCCCGGCTCTGCGACCGCCCGGGGCCTTCCTTCTCACACACTGAACTTCACGGCGGCCTCGGAGCGCCCCAGCTCGGGGCTCCAGCACTGCAGCTAGCGGAGCCCCGCCGGGATCTGCCCCGCACAGCCCCACGAGAGGCGGAGAGAGGGCTGGCCACGGGGACGCTCCTCGGGGCTGCGGGGAGCAGGAAGCAAACGGAAGGTACCTTCAGCTCTTTCTCCCGCTCCCCCGCTCTCCTCTTCATGGTGCCGCCTTAGCCGTCCGCTCGGAGCGGAGCAGCACCGCGGGAACTCCGCGTCGCTCCCGCCGGCAGCGGCCGGACCGCGGCTCCACGGGCAATGCACGGCTCGGCGGGCAGTGCACGGCTCCACCCCGAACTCCAAGTCCCGGCAGGCCCAGGGTGGCCCGGAAGGGGAAGGGCCCGGTTGGCAACAGCGGCAGCTGGTAACGGAGCGCTGAGCAGAGCCGGGGCTGGCGGGGGCCGTGAGTACGGGGGGAGCTTCTCCTCCTCCGGGCACGGCGCGGGGAGGACGGGGGCGCCGGAGCTGCCCGGAGCTGCGGCGCCGTGTCCTGGAGCGGGCGGTCCCCGGCCGGGGAGGCGAGGAGCGGGGCTGGTGCGTCCCGGCGGTTCCAGACTCGAGAGGCTCCTCGCTCGGAGCCCGTGGGAAGAGGCTGGGAGCCCCGGCGTTGGGTTGCCATTAGCCTTGTAGGCCTGTGTTGTGTACCTGGAAAAGCCGGGCTGAAGCGCAGGGACAGCCCGGGCACTGTAGGCGTTCCTTCAGCAGGCCAGGCTGCCTTCCCTGCAGCCCTGCCCCTTGCAGCCCTGTCACTCACCGCCGACACCGGCGCGGCCGAATCGAACTTGGGAAGCTTTGTAAAATACGTTGAAGGCAAGACACGGTTGTTTTGATTTTCCTCTGTTGAAGTAGGACTTACAGGTCTGAGAAACTTTTCTTCCCTCAGGCAACAGCAGGATGCTGTGATCCCGTTTCCTAATATCTTCCATATCTTTCCTTTTTTTTTTTTTTTCTTATCCACCTCCCAAAAACCACAGCACTGCAACACATGATATTTGAAAGATGATATGTGTGTGTATTTCTGCCAGGTAATAAATGAGACCATTTTAGGTTACAAGACCAATAAAGTGCAAACATATATATTTTAAGGACTCAATAGAGGGAGAACATAGGCTGGAAATATGTTGTGATAAGCTAAGATAGGTGGGTGGTCCCTCCCACCTCCTTTTTTAAATTCCCTCTACCAGGGAAGAGAAGTAGGATTTTGTAACAAAAGGATCATCTGGGTTATGTCTGACACTCAAATTCAAAAGCCACGTTGAAATAATTAAGTTGTAATTCTTACGATTTCACTAGAAACCACTGGACGTCACTTAGAGCCCCTTTGGGTGAGAACTTCTAAAAAATTAAGTAATCCCCACTGAGTTTCGCTTCCTTTGAATGATATTAGTACAAAAGTAAACTTCTGGGAGTTATATAAGAATCTAGACCTGAAGCATGAGCTTTGATAAGTATTAATTTTATTACTGTCAGACTTGTATAGCAGTGCAAAGTCATGCAGTTTTTTTGTAGTAAATTTTCAGATACAGGTGGTGGTAAAACCACTTTTGTAAGTAGTGAAGTGTATAAGAGTGTTACAGTTTCTTTAACTTTGGTAGTTATATCAGAAATTCTTGCTTATACCTAACTTGAAGTTATTATACGTTAATCCCAGAGACATGGAGAATATTCCTCTCTTTGTACATTAAGTACTTTCATCTTGTTTTGAGGAATAATCTGTGCTGAAGTGATTGTAGGATATCCTTTCTTGGAAATAAAGCCTGGTTTCAGTTTTTGAGGTTGAGGATGGCATGTGGATCTGTCCAGATGCAAATACAAATTTATATCTCTCTCACTTTGTTATTCTTTCTTTTAGGAAATGCTGCACTTTTAAGTACTATAACTTCTGTAGCAGTGCTGCTGTACAGTTTTGTCAGATGTAATTGCTTTGGAAATACTTTCAAAAGTAATATAGAATGCTGTGGAGAAATCTCATATGCTTTTAGAAATAGCACTGGAACCGGACTGCAAGAAAAAGTAATTTTGTTTAAGTGTTTGTGATTGACACTGAGATAATATTGAGAGAGGAACTGTAACATATGTAACACATGCTTTGATGTTTGAAGTGTCCTCTTTTAAAGCAGCAACATAACTGGTGGTTATTAGTGATTATTAAAGACATGGATATGTTACTAATCAGGCAAATTCTAAATCCGTAATTGTATTTGGCCTACTTAAAACCAGGAGGCATGTTTGTACTATTTCTGTATAAAACCACTGTATCTGATAAAACCAATTAATATGGTTGGTTTTTTTCATTTTCTTTTTCTGTGGCCCAGGACAGAAAAGATAGCTGAATACCTAATTTCTGACACTTTGTAATGGAAATGAAACAATTCTTCCTCTTCCTTTTGAAAATTTTACCTTCTAAGTTTTCCGGACGCTTTAGATTTGAAGCTGCTTTATTTTGTCACTTCAAGTCATGTTACGTTGCCAGTAAAAACTGGGTTTGTGTGCATCTCTGCTATGTTAGTTTGCTTACAGCTCAAGTATTTCTGTGGTTTTGCTGCAGCAGTAATGGATTACTACCGACAAGAGTTGTTTGTTTGCTTATTTGAGTGACAAACATGTGTTGTTTAGTCTCTGTTTTTAAATAAGTGGATTTCTCTCATACTTCTCATACAGAGAAGGTAACAGGTAGATATCCATAGTAAAGTTTCTTTAGCAAATAGTGAAAACCAGTAATGTTTGTCTGTGCCTGTTACAGTTCTGGAGTTTTCGAAGCCTGATTTTGACAGATCACAAACATTGTGGAGTTGTGCTGATAAAATACTTGTTTAGCTCTTGAGTCTCTTGAAACTTGCCCATAAAAAGCCTCTGTCATTTTTGATTTGTGAAAGCAAGGACAAACACATTCTAGAAAGACATATAATGGTATCATCTTCTCCTTGCTACCATCATGAACCAAATTTAGATGTTTCTCTGGAGGTAAGATATTTCTGTTTCCCTTTAATCTCAGTTGTGGTAGCCATACTGGGACATATAGGGACATATAATAGTAACCACAATAATGAACCTAGACCTGAGTGAAGCCAATGACTGCAGAGAGAGCTACAAATTACAAAGAAGTTTTGAGGATTTTGTAAGAGCAATGCAAGAAGAGCCAGGGATGCTGAGAAGCTGGATTTTCCAGTCGATGTGTATTTGTCATTGGTTGCCAGTTGTGCCATTAGCTGAGTGGTGTGGACATCAACATCACAGAGTAGTATTCTCTGTCACTGACAACGTTGAAACTGCAACCATATTGCAAGTCTACAACTGTAGATCAGTTCACTTCAGTGGTCATGATAAGGAAACATTTGTTCCACATGGAAGAAAAATGTGTTCCTGTTTATTCATAAACAGTGAAGTCTGGAAATAATATTTTATCATAAATTTTAGTGATGAAAAAAACAAAAGATTAAAAGCAAGACTGACTTGTCAGAAACTAAATTTCCATTAATCTCTTTTGTTTCTTTAGAACAAAGCCATAAGGAGACTTATTTATGATGGAAGAAAGAGCTTAGGCAGCACTTTTGATTTTGATCAAATTAACAGATATTTCATGGGGTGTCTGTTGTACCATGTCGCTTCTGCCCTCTGATGCAAGTCTCTAGTAGCATCACTGCTAATTTCCCAATGCTTTCCTAGATGGTTTTTGGTTGACTAAGGATTTATATCACCTGAAGACTGTAACAGTGGTTTTGGGGGTAAGACTGTTGAAAGGACTTCACATCTCTCCTTTTCCTGTTGTTTCAGTGCTACTTGACTCTGTGGCCAGCATGTAATTTTCTGCACCAGAAGACAAGAAAGAAACAGCAGTTGTTAACAAGTATGTTCATATATTGCACCAAAAGAAATGGAGTACTTTTTCACATTAATTCTTTCCTAATCTCTGTCATATAGCTAAGCTTTCTGTTTCCACAGGATAGAATCAGTTCAGATTTATGAGAATCATTCATAGGAGACTCTCTATCTTAAAAAGTAATTTCTTATATGACAATGATTGAAAGAAGAGAAAGAGAATGTCAGGCAATACTGGAATGACTTCATAACCCCCAGCACCTGTTTCAAAGAGTTCCATTCAAAATATGGAAGATGGCATTACTCATCTACCAGTCGATGCCTTAAGCTTTTACCTCTCTTAAATGAACAAACGATTAAAAAACCCCCAACTAAACAAAAAACCTGCAGGTCCCTTTCCCACATGCAATTGGAAATACTGCCTTAGCCCAAAGATTCCTGAAAACAGCAGAACTAGAACTTCAGAAAGCTGATTGTACATATATTAAATAGAATTGGAGCTATTGCACAACAAAGGTGTATTTTGTGAATGGATTAAAACTGGCATAAAATTGAACTTGAGAACTTGAGAGTTTAGATTGTTCTCTGAGCAATCTGAGACAGGAACATTCAGAAGTCTGTCACTTCAGTGAATCTACCATAACTTTTGCCTGCATTTCATATCGTTGTATTGTTCGTTCTAGTCTCAGTTTAAATACCAGATGAAGAGGAATTTCATTTGAATTTTTTTATCCCTAGATAAGCCATGCCTGTTGCAGCTGATGTAACTGTGGGGGACCTGCATGTGAGACATACAGGTCTAACTCCAGCTGGAATTGAAGGATTACAAGGTTTGTACCAGCTGCTATTTATTACAGCTACAGACTTTGATCAGTGGCTTCTTTAGTTTCTTTCTAAAAATGTTTCTGATGTTGCCACTCACAAAATTAAGTTCAAATACCATTCAAAATCTGGGTTAAATTGTGAAAGATGCTGTGACCCATTCTATGTTCAAGTTGCTTGTTATAAGAGGGGAGTTTCTGTGAGATGCTAAAAACTGGAAATGTCATTGAGCTGTAACATTCATCCTTCAAGAAGAAAAGAGGACTTTTTTGCTGAATTGAGGACAAGGCCAGATCCATTTCACAAAATGGGAACCAAAAGTATTATGCAATTCTGTTATGTTACTCAGCTGCTATTAGAATGGAACAACTGGGCTTAGTCTTATATCTGAGTAAATTTACAGAATTATGAGTTAATATTTTCAAGCTTCAAGATAATATATTAGCTTTGGAACAGATTAGAAAGAACCCCTTTGGTAATGCTTATTTTTAGATAGTATCTTTGGCAGAACCTGGTTCCCGGGTAAACTGTTACCTTTGTGTTGTCTAGTATGTAAACAGATTGCTGTATAATTTTAATTTTTTTTTTTTTCAATCTGTAAGAAGAAGGAAAAAGGAAGTGATTAAAATGACAATAAATAAAAAAATTTAACAGACTCATACCAGTATAAAATATAAAATTACTTGAAAAGTTGGGGGGAATTCAGTATTTCAAAATGAGTTTTGACTTTGAACTACATGTTGTTGAATGTATTTTAAAGTTGTTTTGGTTTGGGTAGAATCATCAACTGCACAGAATATAAAAGCTCAACAAGCTGAGTAACAAATCAGTCAAGAAGAACTGGAGGACAGATTTCTTCATATACATGATGATCACATCTTACTCAAGCAGCATACAAATGAGCAAGAGGAGAAAAGTAAAAGGTATGGGGGTTAATACTTTTATTTTAGCTTGCAGTAATATTTTTGCCTTTTAAAACATGAACAAATTTAAAATGCTGATTTCTCTCAGAGCACTTTTTAAAGTAGTAGCAAAAATCACATTTTGGAATTAATTTTTTTTAATTTCTGGTTATGTTTGTGCATGTATGTCTTTGTGGTGGACTGTATTAGATCTCCATGTACAGAACTACAGCACTGTCTCTCACTTTGGAGCTGGTACCTTGGGTTTGGAGTTGTACTGTCAGAGTGTTCTGGGAACTGTAGAATCCTAATAATTTATCAGGAATTGCATTCCACCCTATTATTAAACTTAGTGCTGTGCTGGCAAACCACTGTGGTCTCAGCAGAGCTGTACATGGTATTACTGCATTGCAGAAGGGCTAATTAATCCAAAAGCATCATGACTGTGCTCACATTGTGCTGTGTTTAATAAAGTCACACAGCTTCCAAGCAAGGTGTTGTCAGAAGCTAACAGATTCATAAAGGGCAGCTGAAAATACTGCTTGTGTAGATGGGACTACTTCATAATTTTTTTAAGTCTAAAGTGTTCTTTCCTTTTGACTCAGTAGCGAGTGAGTCAGGGGCAAATTGACCAGCAAGACACAACTTCCATCTTTTCTGTCAGGCTGTTGTCAAATCCAAGATGGTGGAACAAATCAATTGTTTCCTTGTTCTGAAGGGCATTTCCTGTATTTTCTGCCTTACCAAATGTACTCATCGTCCACTTAAGTGGAATTACACAGAATGTCCAGAGAAAAAACTTAACTCCTCAAGTTAAAATTTCTTTTCCAGTGTTCCTCGCCAAAACCCTTTTAACTAGAAGTTTGGAATGAATTTGCAGTGGAAGAACGTTGAAAAATCCCCACATAAACAAAAAACCTGCTTACAGGCAAGTAACATTCTGTGACATCCGGAAGTTATTAGGGATTTTTTTTTTGTTTTGTTTCACTTTTGTTCTTTTAAGTAGAAGCTTCTGTCCACAAGTATACAAAAAATAAAACAAGCCCCTTTAAACAAATGAAGTGTGTCCTTATTTTCAGTTTTCTTTCTGGGCCTTCAAAAATAGATTTCCTGTAAACTAGATACAGGTCTCGAAGATGTGCAACCGCCTTTGTAAAGTCTTGAACTTGTCTCTCTCATCAAAGCCACCTTTTCTTTCTTTATATGCCAAGTTTTTTGCATTCACTTCTGGGTATGTTTTCTGTTCGTGCAAGTTACATCACCCCCATGTGCCCTCTCTCCCTTTTGTTATAACTTACTAATGTTTATCAGAACTAAGGGAAATCAGAGGTACAATGCTTGAGATACCAAAAGCAAAATTTGTATCCTTCTAAAGACAGATGACAACCATACCTCTGATTCTAATTATATTCTGCAGCTGACCGTTCCTTCTCCAAAGCACACTGGAAATATTTGCCAAGTATAAAATTGAGTATGATAATGAGAACTGTTAAGTCTCTTCTTCCAGAGTACTTTCCTCAATATCTCCACCTATATATTTTAGCCACTTTAGACATGAAATATGTATTTAAATCCCAAAATACTAGAAATTGTATATAATTGGAATGTTGCATATTATTAGCATTCTTTCAGTAGTTGAATGTTCTGTGGAATTGTAGTTTTATAGTTTGCCCCACCACATCTCAAATCTGTAACTTTACTTAACAGCATGCATGAGGTTCCTATATAAGGTCATGCGTTAAAAATTACATTTAAGCACCATATGGAGTAAATATGTGTCCTCCCTTTACTAACCTTAAATGATAAGCCTTAGGAAACTGTTATTTGTCAGTGCTATAAAGCAGATTGCTGCACAGTGGTTTCAATTATCTTCAAAGAGTTCTTCACAGGCAGTAATAGTTATATCAAAACCTGAAATTTATTATTCAGGTTCTATGCTGAAGTCTTCACAGTGATTATGTTCCTTTCAACAGAATGCTTTTTATGCTGACTTTTCACATTCTTTTTCATCTTTTTTATTATTTTCCCCAGAATGACCACCAAGTTAATACAGCTTGTTAATGATAAAAAAAAGTCTGAACAGGTTGGTGGCGGCCCCAAGTGGCTGGGTCAGGCCTGGAGCTGGAAGAAAGGATTGAGCATTGACAAGAAAAAGTTCATGACGCTGAGAAACAAAATGAGAGCCTCCCCAGCAAACTCCTTTCAGCTGACCAGCAGCTCCAGATTCCAGGCCATAGACCTCGTCCATACAGCTGTGCTCAATCTTTTATTAGCAGTGGTCTCAGAAGAGTGAGCGATTTATTACAATTACAATTTATTACAAACAATGGTTTATATCAGTATCCCTAATAATTGCTTCACTGTAGCAAGCCTGTACTCTTTTTTGTTGATCAGTGGGCAATAATAGTACCTGAAGGCAGAAAGATTGTTCTTTCCCCTTGTTCTTGTATTTATTTATAGCAGTCATGCTTGCTTGCCTTTGAAGTCCTTATTATGAGAATCCACAGTAGCTGGGGTTAAACAAAAGTACAGATTTAAGAAGACAGTAGCTATCAGGCAAGTTTTCTAACAGTTAAAATCATTGGACTTCCTTAGTATAACTTCTCTACATGTAAAAGGGTTATAAAAGTAGTATATGAAAAAGTTTAGTGTTTTCATGTTAAAACAAAGTTTCACATCTGTAGTTTGTTTGCACATGTTTTTCCTTTTTTAATTTCAAGGTTTGTTCTAGTCTCTTGATACATGTGTGCACAGCACTGCAGACTTGAAAAATCTATCACACGTGTGGACTTTGAAAAGCAAATACTACAAGGCAGCCATTTATAATGGTGCTTTTTACTGTTGAGACTTACTGCTTAAGGCAGTCTCCCTCTCAGTGCTTTACTTACTGTAGTTACATTTCGAAATCACACTTTGAAACTTTCATGTTTTCTTAGGAACATTTGTAGAAGTAGTTGTACTCAGTTAACCTATACACTGAACTGATAACGTGTTTTAAAAAACCTCAACAGCTACAGCCCTGATTCAAACCTGAGTCAGCAGAATTGTCACCTTAACTTCCAGAAGCTGTGGATCAGGCTGGTGGCTGGTTACACCCTCACACCAGTGTTCGTTTTTGTTACATTGATTCAGGTATATGAGAACAGCAACAATTCTCATGTTTTTAGACAGATTAAAAAAATTATTTCTACCAATTTGTCTCTTTAATCTATTTGTAGTGGAAGTTTTGACAATTTTCATACACCTGCGCTTTTACACTTCATATCATTAGTTGGGCAGTTTTATTCCCAATATCAATATTTTTGGTTTTTATCTTAACAATGTAAAAATAGGATGGAAATATAATAAATTTATTCAGGCCTAATGCTACCAGATAGAAGAGGGAAACTTGGTTCTGGGAATACAGATCAAATGTTGATATGACAGAGTGGGAGGACTTATCTTGGTATAAAAACAGATCCAGATCTAAGATGTCCTGTCCAGAACTAATATTGATTAAAAAAAAAAAAAAAGAATAGTTCTCCACCAAAGCTCCAGCTCAGATAACAATGTTCAGGAATTTTGCAGAAGTTCTAGTGTGTCTGTCTGTTTTCTGAGGCTTTGTCCAAACCAGAGGGGATTCTGATAATTTGAGTACTCTGAAATACTCTGAATATGCAATTTCTTGAACATATTTTCCTAAGATAAAGACTTACTAGAAATCTACTAACCAATACTCACAACTTGAACACAGTAGTATTGTCTTCCATAAGGTCAAAGAATACTTTCTAGAATATTCATTAAACATAGATTATTTCATGTTTTTGTGTTGCATATGTCCTCATCCTGCCCTTTTATCAATGATGATAAACTCAACAAAATGGTGTTGGGTATGTGCCCTCTTTTTTTAAAAAACTGACCTCTTAGATTTCTCAGTCAAACCTTGAGTCTGAATCTCAAATCACTTTTAATGCAGATCAGAAATCATGCAGGACACTTATTCAAAAGTAAAATGCCTGGAAAAATTCAGGACAGCTTGGCTGTCTCTAGGGTATGCAGAGACAAAAAAAATCCACAAAGAATAAATATACCTTAGGTATCTGCTTTGTGTTTGGCTGCTTTTAAAGTATCATAGCCTACTGATCCAAAAAATCTTCAATATAATTCTTGCAAAATTTTAGATATGAGTTCAAAGCAAGCAATTTAATGTTCATTTCTACCTATGATTAATTTGGAGTCTAGAAGTAAGTAGAAAGCTATTGGCCTTGTATAAGGGTAGAGTAGCAAATTAGGTGTAGCTGTGCATTGCAGCAAAGTCAGGCAAATGTGCACACAGAACGTGTTCATAAAGCCTCAATTAGTCAAATCTTTTTTCTTTCATTCTCTTTTTTTACTTTTGTAAAAAAATACATGCAAAATTCTAGAGCTTTGCATGTATTTTCCCCTTTTTGACTGTTTCTGTTTCAGACTGTTAGCTTTAGTTATATTGAGGATCTAGTGTGGCATGATCCTGCAGGCCTCCTGGTTTGATTTCAATGGAAGTTCTCCTTGGATGAGAAATATGTCATCAGTTCTTTAACTGCCTATCAAGGGAGGGACCCCGTTATTATGTGTGAGCATTCTTTTGTGCATCAGTGGTGCTACATAAATAATACATCATAATGTTTGCTATTAAATTATTCACAGAGTCATAAGTCTCCTCTAGTCAGAATTTCCGTTATATAGTTTAAATAGGTTAAAGAAGTTGTTGTCATAAATAATTTCTCACTCTTTGCCTCCAGTGAATTCAGAAAACATTTAAAATATTTTTTTCATTATTTGAAAGTAATCTGTTTCGAAGAACTTCTGTGCTTCATTCTTGTATAAACACTCTTCTTCAGACAGAAACCGAAGATAACATCGAAATTCGACATCAACTACCACATTTATGTGAAAACTTTTAAGGAGTTTGAAAGTAAAGATGTACTTCAAATTCAGCTAAAAAAATCTTTAAATAAAGCCAGGCTCTAAAAAGTATTGCGGATCCTTATTTATGTTTATCAAATTACTTGTGTCCAAACCATGATACTTGGCCTACGTTACTATCTGTGAGTTAAGTTCTGAAAGTTTTCCTTTAGAGTCTATTTCTCGTTTGACATAGAAGATACATTAGTATTTGAGAGATGCTGTGTTTGACTGAAAATACTAGGAAATAAACTGAAAAATGTCCACTAGTACATATGTACAGTAGTGTGTGTTCTATGATTTTGCCACCAGAATACTTTATGGAAGACTCTTAATCCTCATGTTTTCCAAGTCATGTATTTTTTATGCTGAATGAACTGAGTCAGAACTTAAAGGGATTCTATTTAGGAGACTTTTCATTAGCTTGCTTTCTTGGGAGTCTTGTAATTGCTATCTAGAACAGTCTGTATAAGTTGTTTTATTGCACAAATAATCTTACAAGTTCTGTGTAATTCTTATTTTTAATCTTTATATCAGCAGAGAAGAAACTGTCAATACTGGAAAACTAGAAAAAAAACCTGGTAATTTGGGTAACCAGTAAGGTCATCTTAGTTCATCTTTGTAGCTTATGTCTTTGAATTTTGATATTAGCAGCTTTTTCTTGTGTTTTGTAAGAAAACACGTGGCTGTCATCCTGCTACATAACCATGTAAAGACAGTGTTGAAATTCTTTAGGAGCTGTGTGGTGCCAAAAGGACTGGGCTTCCACCAGTCTCTTTGCTGTAGGACCATTTGATGTCAGCCTGCTGTTAGATTACTGCCAACCTTTAGGAAAATATTCTTGATTTTGCTACATGTTTACAGTAATTGAAATAACTGTAGTTACAAATAGTGAAGTCGTCACAGTTAATCATTAGTCCATCATCAATAAGGAAGGGAGGTACTGGTTATCCTGAGTCCTATATCCACAAAAAAATCCAGTAGTGTTTTAAAGCTGCCTTTGCAGCTTCACTGCAGTTTCTGTCTAACACAAGATCTGCCTAACAGAGCTGAGTTCACGTGCAGCACTCCGTGAGATGATTATTGTAATGTGGCTGCAATTAATGTTTTTTTCCATATTTAATTGGAGTTTGT